GCAATCGAATACTAGCATACTTGATTAAAATGAGAGAGATGGAAATAGTATCAGTTGTGAGTTGTTACCGTATCCGAACTGCTGCTCAAGGCGCAGGCCGATGAAGATGAGGCTGAGCATGTTGGCGACCAGGTGCAGAACACCGGCATGCAGCCAGATGGAGGTGATGAGGCGATAGCCCTGGTGCTCGTGCACGACCTTGTCCCACACAAGTGCTCCCATCTTCTGTAGCCTGCAAGAACATGATGGAGCAAGTACATTGTGTCAGGCACTCAGGCCCCATCTCATCATCAAGCATCAACAACCCCATGCATGCATGCATCCCCTATGCCAAATTATTAGTTCGTCCAGAAATGGACAGACCAATCCATATCCATCTTTAATCAGTTCGCCCCACTCTGTACATATGATTCAAGTGTGGTGGCCTACTGGTAGTCCAATGCAAGTTGAATTAGTTTTCGAATCATATTGAGGTCTGAATATATACGAAGTTAATTGACGATCGATCGAACAAATTCGTCAAGAAATGGGTACAGGAGATCGATGCAATGATTGATATACTTACGTGGCGGAGGAGGGGCCGAGGAGCGGGTTCTCGTGGAGAGGCTGGAAGGAGAAGCGGCCGAGGAAGCGGGCGATGCACTTGCCGCTGCGAGGCGGGGTGTGGAGGGGGCAGTTGTTGGCGTACATGGTGAGGACGAAGACGACGATGTTGGCGACGAGGAACGACGGGACGATCCACGGCACCCACTCCCTCTCCCCCTCGTGCTGCGGGTACAGCGGCGACGGCACCTTCCCCACCTCCTTCCTCCTCGCCCCCTTCTCCACGTCCGCGTGCGACGTCGCCATTGCCGCTCTCTTTCTCGCTCTCTCTCTTTCCTTGCTCGCGTTCAATTGATCGAGGTGCAGGGTAGTGGTGGTGGTGCGGTGGATGGAGTGAGGCGGTGGACGGCGAGATGCGCGGGGGGAGAGGCGGGAATAAATAAACGAGCGGGCGCGACACGGCTCGCGGCGCGCACGACGGGTTGCTTCGTCGTGTGAATTGTTGCGGGCGCGCGCCGCCCGCAGTTACTACTGTCTCGTGACAGTAGTTTGACCTGCCCGGTTGTTGTTTGAATCGGCAGATCAAATCAATGGTCCAGATCTCACCAACTAGCGCTAGTTTTCGAGACACAACTAGCACTAGTTAGCAAAACGAATTTGCATGTTAAAATTTGGTCCAAATTAAAGAATTGAAAGTCATGCTCAATTCTTCAACTCTAAACTTCAACTTACTCGTTTTACGTTAGAATAATTTTCAGACTCTGAAATGATGAGTTTTTTTTTAAAAAAGAAAATCTATATCAAAGTAGTTTTAAAAAAGCAAATAAATCTATTTTGTAATTAATCATGTGCTAATGATATTATTCGTTTCGTGTGGCGTACAAATCTTCCTCCTCCAAGATGAATCGAACGAAGCCTGTATTTCACCCCAGTAGTGTCACGTTGACTACTCGAAAGGAATGGCATGCACAGGGCGTACTATTTGTGTGGAATGGCTACTGTTGACTTTTTACGGTAGGGTGCATACCGATCACATGGTGTAGTGGGAGCGGCTATTCTATTAGTTTAAAGGATCGCATCAAGGTAGAGAAATGGTGTTAATTAAGTCACGATTTCCTTTGGAAACTAATTTCCAGGCTAAGACTACCTGCGCAATGATTAAAAAGCAAGAGATTGGTTCGGTTTCTTTATCTTTTCGCGGATGCCAGTATGCCGCACCTTACTGTAATTTGGTTGGCAGGGCACCGACAAGGCGTGTGCGATTCAGCGATTCGCATGTAGCAGCATCTCGCAATTCCTTACCCAAAAAGCAACTGACACCTTCTTTGTCTGGCTATGCTAATGGTGGTCATCGACGGCGGCGACCCACACTCCATGGAAAACGGCCAACTCGATTCTGTTCTGGCAAAAGGGAGGGACCAATGCAGATGAGACGAGCAGTTTCTTGCCGCGGTAGCACACAAAACCAACTGCACGACGAGCTCCTAGTACCTTGCTTCAAGCGATTCCCAACCCAACCAACAGCTACATGCGCCGATGTGCAGTGCAGTGCAGTGCAGGAGCAGGAGCAGGGGAGGAGGGCGAAACGGCCGGGCTGCCGCTGGTTGGTTCGGCGTCCCGGGCTGGACACATGCGGCACGCGGGTTTCTCCCGTCTTTTCTCGCGTCGCGTGCGTGAGTTGGCCATCGCATGTTGCCATTTGGGGCGGACGCGGAGTAGTCGCGGAAGGAAGGTATAGTATAGTATAGCTGGCTCGACGAGTCACTCGGGGTGGGCGGCCGCGGCTCGTTTCGGTGTCGGTTTGGCCTCCTGCGCGCGGTGGTGGTGGGTGGTGCGCTCGGTTGGTCGCGTCCGGATTGGGTTCGATTCGATTCTCGCGTGTGCATGTGCGAGCTTGGGCTTAGCTCATCCTGATTGGAACTGGAATTAGAATTGGAATAAGGTGTTGGTTCGTTGTGCTGCGGTGCTGGATCGTCTTGTCCTGTGTCTGCGTGTGTGCATTAGGGGATTATTATCTTTGTTGTCCCTGTTAAAGTGCTGCTGCTACTGATTGCGGATAGTCTAATTAACAAGTTATATGTATGATGATGATGGTGTAACGCCAGATTAGCAAAGCTGTGTCTTGCGTTCCAAATGACGAGATGCTGCTGTCTGATGCATGATTAAAGCCGTCGGCTGGCCCTAGGGGTGTCGGGGAGATAATTTTGTTTAGGATTCTTTAATCTAGTACAATTTGATTGTAATTCAGGATAGGAATGGTTAGGATATGGATTGAACCTAAACCGTTTTAAGTGAGTTCGTTAATCCATGATTTAATAGGGTCGATCCACTATGAGTCTATTATATCAATAGGTTATCTATGGATATTCAAATGGATCGGCTACTCTTATTACATGTGGGTAAAACTCGGACCCAAAATTTTTAAACTCGCGTTCACACTATAAAAACTTATCGAATTCAGTTGAATTTTGGTGGGATAATTTATTGCACAGAGAAGCAACTTTGTATAAATTTTGAGCCCTTTATACAAGTGGGGCCCACGATGCATTACTAGGACCCAAAAATTCTAGTTATACGTGTGTAAAACTCGGACCCAAAATTTTTAAACTCGCGTTCACACTATAAAAACTTATCGAATTCAGTCGAATTTTGGTGGGATAATTTATTGCACAGAGAAGCAACTTTGTGTAAATTTTGAGCCTTTTATACATGTGGGGCCCACGATGCGTTGCTAAGACCCAAAAATTCCAGTTACATGTAAAACTCGGACCCAAAATTTTTAAACTCACGTTCACCCTATGAAAACTTGTTAAATTTAGTTGAATTTTGTAGGAATGAATTATTATATAGCGAAGCAACTTTATACAATTTTTTGAAACATTTATACATGTGAAGTCATTTTGGGTCGAACCCCTTGAACATTAGGTTCTAATGGTTTGATCCGTTTGATCCATTTATATTTTTTGGAGCGACCCTACAAATCCGTTAACACAAATTTACGGATAGGTTTAGTGGATAAATGGATCGACCCTAATCATTCCCATCCTGAATTGTAATATTGTGTGGCTGAATCGATTGCTCCGTGCATATATGTTACTGAGAACGAAACCATTGGTTTATGCAAGATGTGTCGTATAAAAAGTGCATAACAAACCAGCAAGTTTGAAATTGAGATTTACCAGCATAATAAACAGCAAGTTGAAGTTGAAATTTACCTGGCACAATAACCAGCAAGAGAACTCTGTGTTTCATCTCGGATTACACTCCACGGCAAAGCATGTTGCTGGGAGGAACTTAGAGTGTAAATCTGTTTTTTTTTTATGTAGCAGGCCTTATGGCTGTTGTATATCCTAAACTCTTTCCCTAAATCTTAATAAACTTCAGCCGCTTTCTTTGCCGGCTCGACCAAGAAAAAGGAAAAAAGAGTTGAAGTTGAAACTTATCCGGCAAAATAAACCACAAAATTTAACAATTTGACTCTTTCCAAAAACTAATTTCGCAAATGAACCGTTGTCAAAACTTATTTTAAAAATGACCCTTTTGTTCAGCGCCAAATCGTATGACGCTGAACTTAGACACCTCAACGCCATGTCAACTGGCTCTGAATGTTGTGCCACCGTGGATGGGAGGCTGAGTCGGTGTGCCAACGTGTATTCAGTGCCGTGCTATTTGGCGCTGATATGTTTAAGTTCAGCGTCATACAATTAGATATTAAACTAAAAGGTTATTTTTGAAATAAGTTTTAGCAACAATTCATTTGCGAAATTAGTTTTTGAAAGGGTCACATTGTTAAATTTCGTGCAAAATAAACAGCCATACATACGGCGCACAGCTTGTAAAAAGAGCCATTGGAGGCCTTTGAAATTCAGCCCAGTCCCACGGAGTAACTGTAAGCCCACCGCGGCAGAGGGAGGTGCGCGTGCGGGGATCCGCCTTCCGCGTGCTGCAGTGCACTGGCACTGCTGCGTCCGGCTGTTCGTAGCGCCGTAGCGGCTATCAACCCGTGAGGCCGCGACCGCGACCGTGATGCGTCCGGTGACTCGGTGAGGCCGTGACGGGTGATCCACCCACCCCCACCGTCTTAAAGAAAGAAGCCGAGTACCCCGCGTGATCCATGCTCGCATTGAAAGAGCCGACAGCTCTCGGCTGCTTCCGACTTCCGATCGCTGTTGTTTCGGTGTTAGTACTAGCAGGCTAGCTGAGCTGCCTGTGTACGCCCATACCCGTGTGCTTTCCGTCATCACCGTCTCACTGGGTAATGCATTCGGTTGCCCACCTGAACACTGCTAATTTGCGTTTCAGCAGTGCCCCCCGTGCTAGAACTTAGGAACGCCTCGTTCATACGCCACTTGTCATGAGCTGCTGGCTTTTGTATGGGCTAAAATTTCCCTGAGTTATGGACACTGGCCACTGGAGCAGGCTGAAACCGTAAGTAGAGATGTAGTAACATGTAGGAGTACGAAACAAAAGAGTCCACATTGTATAATACTATCACTTTCTTTCCAAGGTCAAAGAACATTTTTGGGTAGCATCTGGGCCACGCCATTTTACACCAAAAAAACAAAAAAAAAACAGAGCAGCTCATTTTACACTGCCCTTTCATCTATATCATCATCATCGCTAATCAGCGAGTAACGAACAGCCTTACCATTTAAACGAAGTAATGTACCGGGTGGGACACTATAACTTAGTATCAGCATTCTGAACTGTTGCTTCTTCTGACTGCTACATATACTCAACCGAAAATGGTCCTAAGAACGGTGTCTCCAAGCCCGGGAACCGCAGACAGGAAGTGCCCGGTTCCGGGGAGCTCATGGTAGTTCGCCCAGCTGAGCCGGCTAACGAGGTATCTCTGCAACACCACCGGCACAAGCCCGTCCTCGTCGCCCTGCCAGATATGCACAGGGCATGGCGGCTTCGGCAAGCTCATCGGGTCAAACTCCCACTTGCCGAACATCACCATCATGTCACGGTAGTACGACTCATGAATGCCTTGTTGTGTCGCCAAGTCCATTTTCTACAAAACCACATGCAAAAAATGTTAAGACTTGACATATACTCCAATAAGAGCATCACAACTTTAGCTTGTAGTGACAACGGAATGCTAGCTGAAATGGAAGCAACGTGGACTGACCTTCTGGAACGAGCCATCCGCCTTCATATTTTTGCGGATCTCGGCATCACGCTTGTTGGGGAGGGGAGTGGTGCCAGCCACGACGGTGGAGGTGGGAAGCCAGCTCTGCTCCATCCACCAGTGGAGGATGCTGGGTGCATGGTGTGAAACACGCAGCGCCCACTGGTCACCCACTTCCTGCTTGTTGTACACCTCGGCAGCCAGATCGGTAGGGAACCCCGGCCACCAGTAGTTCACCACCGGTGCCATCATGGCCGCTCCAGCAATCCTGTACGCACAACAATGACCGCTATTGTCAGTCACTCTTCTTGACACCAACCTACTGCTTGATTTGTTACATTACTGGACGTGTTTGACACTTTTGGCAGGCACTGTGTTGCTCACCTTTCTGGGATGTACTTGAGGGCGCCCCAAACAGCATGGCAGCCGAGGGAGATACCGATCACATAGAACTTGGGGCCTAATCCTAGAGCGTCCGCAAGCTCCTCAACATCGAGGGCAGCGCTCTTCACAGACCGATTGGGGTTTGGATCACTCTCACCATATCCAGCGCGATCAAAGCCTACCATGTACACGCCCAACTCCTCAGCCACCTCCTGAAAATCACATCAAGTTTATGAGTTGGTATGCGCCACAATGCAGAATGAATGGGCAATAGGATATATAAAGTTAAATAAGAAAATGGGAACAGTTAACGTTCGAAGAGAACATCTAGAGTCCAGCCATTCATATGACAAGGTCAACTGGAAAATGAAAATCTGGCACTGACAATTGACAAACTCAACAATTAGGAAAAGAAATCTGAAGTTGAGCATGGCATTTGTACATGGTCAGTCATGAAACTAACAAATCATATTTAAGAATTGAAAAAACATATTCTACTCAACATCCTAAATTGGATAGGTTGACTTGGATTTAGCTATCTCTAAAACTAAAGCGTTGTCTTGAAAAGTCCTAGGCTAGAATTGCAATTCGCTGCCACCGACAGAATCCATATCATCTTTCCAGGCGATTAAAGTGGGCAACAAGATGCCATGAAGCAATTAGGCCAATCAGGAGGGAAATGTGACAGCAATTGAGTGATGTGAACAACAAAAACAGGCAGTTATAAGATAAATCAAGCATAAAAAAAAACTGAATTTGGGGATTTAATCGGTCTGCTGCGACTACATTCATGAAATAATCTTTTGAACCAAAAAAGCTACAGCCTTTCCAATGTATATTCCCCATCTACTCTAGCATCGATTCCGTCGTAACCCTGCCTTGGCGCCATTCCCGATTTCGCGCCATAGCAAGCCAGAAAAGGGAACCCAAAATTAGCAAACCCGGGGGGAGTGGCAGTGCAGGCTGACCGACCGGCGAGGGGCGGACGGAGTCGAGGCGGGAGCCGGTGAACCCGTGGGAGAAGACGACCTTGTACCGCGCGTCCTCCTTCCGCACGCCGGACTCCGCGTACGCCAGGTGCCTCCCGTCCCTCAGCCGCACCCGGGGCGCCGCCACGGGCGGCCCACCGGGCGACCCGCAGATCCGCGGCGGCGGCGGCGGCGGCACCACGGCGCGGGCGATCCAGCTGCCCAGCGCGTCGGCCAGCGGGCCCAGGGCGGACCCGCCCGCCCTCTTGGCGGCGCAGTTCAGCATCGGCGCCGTGGTCAGCAGCTCCATTGCTCCGGCGGGTTCGGGCGCCGGCCACGTCTCGTTCTTGCTGGCTGGGTAGGTAGGTGGGGCTAGTTTTGCGCTATACTCATACAGCCGTACGGTTTTAGTAGGAGCAGAAACGTGGCGTGCGATCCAGCCTAGGTTGACGTGAAGTTAACAGTTTTCTCCCCGGAATTCCAAGGACGGGCAGCCCCTTTTTTGGCTTATTTTCATGTACGCATATTATTATATTCTAACTCCGTCCCAAAATAAGCGAGTCATAGATATCCGTTTCTAATGTTTGACCGTATGTCTTATTTAAAAAATTTATAAAAAAATTAAAAAAAAATTAGTTACGCATAAAATACTATTCATATTTTATCATCTAATGATAATAAAAATATTAATTATAAAAACATTTCAAATAAAACGAACGGTTAAACGTTAAAAATGAATAGTGCAAAACTACACTTATCTTGGGACGGAGAGAGTAAAGTTTAAATTTTAAAACTTAATATTATGTATTTTTTATTATAGTTGATTTTATAACATTTGACTTTAAATCGTTTAAATCGTTAAAGATACGTATATAAAAGTTTTAATTATAAATTATTTTTTAATTACTAATAAGCAATACCTAAACATACACAGAATGAAAAATTAGGACCCAGACTATCTAGAAGAGTTGCCTGGTCTTCTAGGGGGCCAGTCGGTGGGAAGCACGTTGAGGAGAACTGCTGCTCGTCAAAGGTTAGTATGGGGATGGGTAAGGCTGATGCTCATCGAAATTTTTAAACAAAACAAATGATTGACACTATATCAAATCAACGGTGTTCGAGAGAATATTACGATTCGGAACGGAGCTAAAAGGTCAATTTTCCTAACCTGAATTCACGTGGACAGACAAACAACAAGACACTGAATGATTTTTTGTTTTTTAAAAAAATCTGAATGACCTGGCCATGTGGCCTTGAGTGGTACGGTAGCGTATCTAGTATTAGTAGTACGTGTTAATTTGGGAGTGCCTTTAGACTATTCTTCCTTTTTTTTGCTTTTTTCTTGTAAGTTACGGGTCCTTAAGTTGGTTATGCAAGATGGAGGAGGAATAACAGGGAAGGTAAGTACCCAGGTAACTACCCAACTACCCAACGGTATTTAGTTGTACGGCCAATTTTTTTTTTAAAGTATACGGACACATATTTAAAGTATTAAATATAGATTAATAACAAAATAAATTACAGATTCCGCCTGTAAGCTAAGAGACGAATCTATTAAGCCTAATTAATCTGTCATTAGCAAATGTTTACTGTAGCACCATATTGTCAAATCATGACGTAATTAAACTCAAAAAATTTGACTCGCAATTTACATGCAAACTGTGTAATTGGTTTTTTTACTCGTCCACATTTAATGCTATATACATGTGTCTAAATATTTGATGTGACGAAATTTCTGAAAGTTCGAGGAGAACTAAACATATCCAATTTTTACTCTCCATATGAACAGTGGAACTGACAATAGCAGGAGTTCACCGCACTTGGAGTGGAACATGATAGTGTTTGCTTCCAGGTAAGAAAAGAAAACGTGTGGCCATCCATGCTGGTATATTTCTGTACCTAACCTTACTGTAACTCCTAATAACAGTGTGAAAGAAGATTCCGTCGAATACGGCTAAATTTTTAGCCGAGACAGAGTACACGACACTTCAGGACGCGTAGGCTCTACACAAATGACATTTGTCCATTACTCCAGAGAGCAGTAATCAGACGCTTACAGGCAGCTAACCATTTGGAATTTTGGATGGTCGAAAGCAAAAGCTCCTTATACTGATACAGGCACGGATCCAGTAAGGCGCAAGCTAGCTTAACAAAAGAATTGATCCTATGATCTGGCCGGGTTCATGGCAGCACATCAACTGAACTATAAATATACTTAATCTGGCCCTACCACCATGAATGTATCTGAGTTGTTGCTGCTGGTGAGATTATTGGGAGTTTTAGATACAGCTGTTGGTACAGTTGGGCTGATCTAGACAAACCGATACACAGCAACCGCGACCTAACATTCATGAAAGACTTTTTCCAAGAGAGACTTGCACAGCAAATTTTTTATGCTCAAAGAAAGCTCTGTTCCACCGGGCAAATTGATTCTTAGAAGCCACCGAACACCCACCAGCTCATACCCGACCTTTTCCTCCAGTACACCTTTGCGGTCACCGACAGTCTCTTTCGTGCCAGAGAGCTAGCTAAGCTAAGGGACTTTCATGATTAGTTAGCAGTCACTACCACTAAAAAGAAAAAAAAATCAAAGCAAAGTCTTTTGAGTTGTAAATACTCGCGTTCTCTCTTCCATTTCTTACTAATATATTCGTATTTCATAATCCAATAGACTGCCCACAAGGCGATCAACAAGGCTGTTTTATTGTGTTATGATTGGGAACTCTTCTCCAGAAATGTAAAACGGAGCAACTTATTATCATTTAATTAATTAAATATTAGCTTAAAAAGACTTAAAAATAGATTGATATGTATTTTTGAGCAATTTTCATATAATTTTTCTAAAAAATACACTAATTAGCAGTTTATAAATGTTAAATATGTGCGGGAAAATGAGAGTGGTGAAGTTAGAAAGATGAAATCAAGAACACGACCTAATACATCTACAAGGTACTGTATGTCAAGAAAAGTTCGAACTACAGAGAAGATCGTGCATGCATTTGTGATGGAAGAGATGAAATCAGATTAAGGAGAAGAGGGACATGTAGACATGGATGTGGATGGGCTATGTTTACCTGGGAGGCGCGGACGCTGTCCTCGCGGGAGCCGGTGAAGCCGTGGGAGAAGACGACCTTGAAGCGGGCCTCCTCCTTGGGGACGCCGCTCTCGCAGTAGGCGAGGTGGCGGCCGTCGCGCAGCCTCAGCCTCGTCGCGGTCACCGGCGGGCCACCCTCCGTGCCGCACGGCCTCGGCGCCGGCGGCTCGACGGCGCGGGACATCCATCCCGCGAGCGACCCCAGCAGCGCCGTCGCCGGCGCCGGCGTCACCACGCTGCCCTTCGCCACCCCCTCCTCGTCCCACACCTGCGGCATCGACGTCACCCACATCTTCTCCGTGCGCGCGCGGATCGGTCGAGCGAAATGTGTATGAGTGTATGATATGCGGTGTGGCTGCCGATCGGCTTGCTTGCTCACCCGCTACCGAGCGCAGGCGTCAACCACCGCTACTTATAAGCGTGTGATTACGCCGTTGCGTGTGTTGGTGGGTGACCCGGCCGATCGAACGGCTGACCGGCTCTCGCGCTCAATTCTCCAGAGAGAGAGAGAGAAAAAAGTTGGTGAGTGACCACTCACCTACCCCCGTGGTTTGGACGGGTGCATCGAGTGGAATGCGGAATACTAGTTGTACTGGTTGGTTAATTGCTTGGCGGGAGGGTGGCCTTGTGGTGTTTGACCGGGCGAGCGCCAGATATTGTCGTAGCACGAGTGGTCAGTGCGTGGAGGCATTGTGTGGCGTTGGTTGGTGGTTCTTCCACGGTCGCCGGTGATATGCTAACGCGGAGTTGCGGAGGCGGAGGCCGCGGAGCATTACTTGGAACTAATATGGCTGTGTTTAGGTCACACTTAACTTTCCTCCAACTCCTAACTTTCCATCATATCCAAAACTTTATTACACACATATAAACTCTTAACTTTTTTTTCCAAACTATCAACTTTCTAAACTTCTTCCTAATTTCAGAAACTAAACACAGCCTACATTCGTTCGTTTGATAGAATTCCAACTTCTAAATTTAATTTTAAAATTTAAATTTGGAGTTAAATTCTAGAGCAGTTTAAACACAGCTCCATTTTTATAATTCATTTTGTAATAGCGCTTTAGCCAGCTTCACTCCCACTTTAGATTAAGCTGAAACAATTTGACTAGGTCTTAGCTTTAGCCTTAAGAATGTTAGAATAATTGGGCTAGGCCCAACTTATAATATTAAATCTCAAAGGCCCATAATAAATGTTGAGGATAATAATACCACCTCAGGATTTAAGCGAGAAATATCTCAACCTAAATAGGGAGTTATTGGAGGCTCCCTGTTGACCAGTTGAGGTGGGGGTCGGAATGCCACACGCGCGCGCGCGCGCCGGGGCGTGGGCGTGGGCGTGGCGTGACTGGCTGGCGGCGTTTGGAAGGAGCAGTGCCTCCGAAACCACACCTTCGCCTGAGATCTGCACCGGGTAGGTGGATGATCAGGTTTTTGGGGAGTGCCTCCCGCACGATTGCTCATCGCCATGTCTGGAGTTGTCGCCGCCACTGCTGGCGGAGGTGGTACGCCGCCGACAGGAGCTGGTGCGTCAGGAGGTGCCGTGAACGACAACAACAACGGAGGCAATTCTGCCTCACCATAGCGCTATTCCTGTTCCCATTGTTAGCGCTATTGCTATACTATGGGCGCTATGTTCTTGTTCCTGTTCTACATGATGCCTCTAGCATGTTATCGCGTTACTGGTATGTTCCTGTTCCTGACATTCATGATGCGCATAGTATGCTACTGGTTATGTTAAGATCACCCTACACTGCTTATGCCATGATCATTGCTTTAACTTTTTGGATTAAAATATGCCGATTAATGACTATATTTCCAACAATCCAAAAACCTGATGGGTCATTTTCGGTAGTTGGCTTTGCTGCTGCACTGAAACCACATGCTTTTGATGGTTCAAACTATAAGAGATGGAAAGCACGTGCACTATTGTGGTTGACAGCGATGCAGTGCTTCTATGTTTCACGGGGCAAACGAAGTGAACCACCTCTTTCTCCTGAGGAAGAGGCTAAGTTCGAGGCTTCGGATTGCCTGTTCCGTGGAGCATTGATCAGTGTACTCGCTGATAACATAGTGGACGTGTACATGCACATGCCTTCTGGGAAGGACATGTGGGATGCACTTGAGGCCAAGTTCGGAGTTTCTGACGCCGGCAGTGAGCTGTATGTCATGGAGCAGTTCTATGACTACAAGATGGTCGATGACCGTTCTGTAGTAGAACAAGCTCATGAGATTCAGATGTTGGCTAAGGAACTTGAGAACAACAACTGTGAGTTGCCGGACAAGTTTGTGGCGGGTGGCATTATTGCCAAACTACCACCTTCTTAGTCGGACTTTGCCACTTCTCTAAAGCACAAGAGACAAGAGTTCAGTGTTCCTGATCTCATTGGCTCTTTAGGTGTTGAGGAGAAGGCGAGGGCAAAGGACGTGCGGGGCAAAAAGGTTGAGGGAGGTTCTAGTGCCAATATGGTACAGAAGAAGAACCCTCATGCATCCTACAACAACATGAAAGTCAAGCCTGATGTCAAACCCAAGGCTGCAACCAATTTTAAG